AGAAGAAGAAGAAGAAGAAGAAGAAGAAGAAGAAGAAGAAGAAGAAGGGTTTTACACTATAGTCGAGGCTGGCCAGGAACTTTGGCCTCCCTAGTTTTGGCTCTGCAAGTGTTCACCACCATCACCACCATCCTTGACAAAGCAGAAACTTTCTGTGCTACACATAGGTGCAGAGATAAACGGATTTGTGGGATCGTTGTGATGTGGAGCAAGTTGCCAGGGCAACTGATTAAAAAAATGAGTATTTCTGGTTACGGCTCCAGAATACCAGGGACATAATACCAGGGACAGCATGGCTGCAGACAGCAGGCAGTAGGCACAGCTGCAGGAACAGGAAGCTGAGCCCTCACATCTTCAGCTACACGCATGACACAGAGAGAGCAAACTAGAAGTAGGTGAGGTCTTTCAAGCTTGCCCCCCAGTGCCATACTTCCTCCAGAAAGGCCTCGTGAAACAGTTACACCAACTGGAAACCGAGTACTCAGATGCCTGAGACTATGAGGGATATTTGTGATTCAAACCACCATACCTGCACTCCTAAATCTCTAAGACATTTTTTTTAATTTTTTAATTTATTACAATTTATTCACTTTGTAGCCCCCTCCCTCATCCCCTCCCAATCCTACCCTCCCTCTCTTTTCCTCCCATGACCTTCCTTTAGTCCACTGATAAGGGAGGTCCTTCTTCCCTTCCCTCTGACCCTAGCCTATCAGGACTATTAGGGGGAGGTGATCAAAGAGCCAGCCATGTTCATGTCAGAGACAGCACTTGTTCCCCTTAGTAGGGAGGCTAAACAATAAGGAATATCCCAGGTAAGATGCTCCATCCTACTTCAGAAAGACACACTGGATAGACATCGGAAGAGGGAGAAAACAGGGAACAGGACAGGAGCCTACCACAGAGGGCCTATGAAAGACTCTACCCAGCAGGGTATCAGAGCAGATGCTGAGACTCATAGCCAAACTTTGGGCAGAGTGCAGAGAATCTTATGAAAGAAGGGGGAGACAGAAAGACCTGGAGGAAACAGGAGCTCCACAAGGAGAGCAACAGAACCAAAAAAACCTGGACACGGGTCTTTTCTGAAGGACCATTCACGGAGATACCTAGCACCCCTGTACAGTTGCCCCCATGGCAGCCCAATCTCTAGGGCGTTTCTTACTACGATGGTTTGAACGTTAGCATTGCCCATAGGTTCATGTGTTTGAACACTTGGCCCGTAGCTGGTCATGCGGCTCTGGAAGGTTGGGGAACATTTAGGAGGCGAAGCCTTGCTGGAGGAAGTGACGCACTGGAGATGGCCCATTAGGCGCGGTAGCACCGCCTACTTCCCGCCCCGCCATGATGCTCTGCATCCGTCCTTGCAGGCTAAGCCAAAGCAGCCCTTCCTCCCTCTCTCTAGTCGCTTCTTGTCAAATAAAATTTGGTCGCAGGAATAAGAGACGTCCCTGCTGTCCTCTCCCTGGCCAGTCTTGACGTCACTCCGTAAACTCCCGCAGCCAGCGAAAACATGGCCTTGCGCGCTCGCTGTGGTTCGGCGAGGAAACGCTCCCCCGGCCTCGGGCCTCGTTTTACGAAAAGGCTGCCTGCCGTTTCAGGCTCGGAAGGGCCGGAGTGGTTAAGGAGAGTGGAAATCCGAGGGCACGGGGACGTGGAAAAGGACTTAGGTGTATCTTCCAATACACCGCCTAGTGCCGAAGGCCGCTTGCTCGTTAGGCACCATAGTGATCATCTTGGAGGGCACCTCAGTTATTTAAGGATTAGAGATAATGGACCAGCGCGGAGATCTCACACACACACACACACACACACACACACACACACACACACACACACACACACACACACACACACGGAGAACTAGAAAACTTGTAAAAGGTGTCTGCTCTGTCATGGGTTAAATGTGAAATGTACCCCACAGACTCTATGCGTGGACACTTGGTCCACAGATGGTGACGGCCGTGGGACCTTTGGAGGGGGACACTGTCGCCCTCCGAGGGCTCGGAGCACGGCAGCAGCGGAGTTAGTGCTGGAGGCCTGCAATCAGGCCGAGCTGGGACTCACGGCTACAACACAGACACGGAGCTCAGGGAGAAGCAAAAGCGACTCTGTTTTTATGTGTCGCTGTTTGAGACAGGGTCTCTTAATGCAGCCCTGGCTGTCCTGGAACCGTCTCTGTAGACCAGGCTGGCCTCACACTCACACAGATCCTCCTGCCTCTGCCTCCCGAGTGTTGGGATCAAAGGTGTGTGCCAACATACCTGGGCTTTTCAAAAAAAATTTCAAGTGTGTGGTGTGCTGTGGTGTGTGTGTGAGTGTGTGTGTGTGTGTGCATGTTATGTGCCGATACTTGTGCCCACACTTGTGTACAGAGGTCAGAGGGCAGCTGTCAGTGGGTGCGTTTTCTCCCCCCCCCCCCCAGGGGGGCTCCAGTCGGCAGGCTTAGCCTCACACCCCTTTCCCCAGAGAGCCGTGGCAGCAGCTCCGAGGCTGGGCTCCTTACAGCGGATG